TATGTTATGATTTTCCAGCACAACTGTCACTAGGCTTTACTAAGAATCCTCCAAAAAATAGAAACTTTCAGGTAAGTGGCAAAAATACTTTATCAGCTGTAAGAGAAGGACTGCTTTGAGCTGATAGGAATGCAAAATTACTCAAACAACCACTTGCTACAACCAAAGTTTGCAGAAGAGCATCTCTGAATGTGCAACACATTGATCCTTGAAGCAGCAGCAAAAGACCGCACCGATTGTCACTGGGTAATCGCTGACACGGGCAGTCTTGTCTGCTAAGAAATGAGAAACTGAGGCTACGGTTCGTAAAGAATCAGCCGAACTGGACAATATAAGGTAATATTTCCTGATCCCATGAGTCTCAATTTGTGCTGCGACTTTCGAATAGTACTATTAGAATTTTCTGTAAACAGCATGAAAGTATGGAGGCCTCCCGCCTTGTACTAAAGAGACAGGCTTGTGGTGGTGTAACGCAATCAATCTCCACCGCTTTTTTTTGCTTTTCTTGACATACTTTGAGCCCCTAAGTACCAACACCATAGCCTACCTGCGTGTTGATGTCCATCCCTTATGACCACAGTGTACCATCTTCTCAGTGAAAGTCACCAGATCCAACAGAAGCACATTTGAAACGTCTCCAGTGATGTTTCTATTAGCCAGAAAATCTTGAGCAAACTTTCCCTTTCCATCATTAAAGTTTAAACTACGCATCTATGTCTAAAATGCACAAAAGTCTGCATGCATAATGTACAGTTTGTCTATGAAAAGCTCATAAAAATATTATTTTGTTATGTTCAAGCCCAAAACAGTTTGCACAGCATTGACGAGTCTGACTTTCCTCATCTGTGATGTGAGTTTGGACGCTCCTGCTGTGTTAATTAAAGCTCAATGACACGAACGAGAACAAAGATTTAACACGGCTGAAAACCTCTGCGGGGTCAAATCTGCTGGGGAGAGCAGTTTTATTATAACTAATCTCTCAGGATCTTATCTGATGCTGTAGCCCCGCTAATGTTTTGACACAAAACAGTTGACATTTAACTCGCTCAGCCCTGGTGAAAACCAAGAATCTCACATTTGACCTTTAAAAGTAGCAAAAATGTTCCTAAATGGACCTTAAGTTTAATTTGATTCTGAGGTCTATGCTGATCCCTTAAATAACATTTCAATAATATATACTGTAATACACATGATTGCCCTCTGTCTGTCATCATATTTAGTGTCTATCCTCAGCGTTAGTTAGCCTATTTTTGGGTTACTTCCACTCAACCTGGTCAGCAAACATGGGTGGCTGTGTCAGCTGGGGGACATGAGCCACTGCTGGTCCCAAGTCTGCATAAATGGGGATGGCAGTATCATGGTGGGCATCAGCTATGCAGATATAGCCGCTGTGACGACCTCTCTAAAGAACGAGGCATGAAAAAAGAAGACCATTTCCAGAGTTATGACTATTTTTTCATACTTCTTGTTTTAGTTTCATATGCTGCTTTTGCTTACATGTATCCTTAAATCATCTAAGTGATAACAAAGAACCGATTATAAGTAAAACTGTAGTAATAATGAGGACTGTTGCAAGTGTACGTTATTGCAAAGTGTCCATTTGCATGTGTCGATTTTTAAAATGTTTCAAACGTCAGAATGGGAGGAGCTTTATAGAAGGAATAGAAAGGGTCTTATTTTTGCTCAGACCTCCACCCTGGGGCAATGAGCCTTTTACTGTGTGTGCTGCAGTGACCAATCACCAGACACAGTTTGTTTCAGGTTGTTTCAGCCTCAGCCGCCTTCATTAAACAAACTGCCACATGAAATAAAATAGTTTATTGAACCAGTTGACAAATTAAAACAAAACTGTATGTATCAAATATGAAATATGGAAAATATGGAAAACTGTGCAAAGTACTCCTCAGGCACTTTGAATTCAGCAAGTTTATTGCAAGCCACACTGTGCAGCATGAATCAAATAAACTTGGATACAACAGCAAGTTTGATTTATATTTTCAACCATATTCATTTTTTGACACTCAGTCTTTAGATGGGCAACTTCAAACCTCTTCTAAGTCAACTTGAGCTTGTGGGTTTGAATGCTAAACCAAAGATATGACAGATTCTTTCACGCTGGTCATTTTTCATCAGGGGCAGCTTGAAATCACAAAGTCTATAATGTCATGTTGTGATCCCTCACTGACTTGGCCACCACCGAACACATCATTTGTGTCAAAATTGTCTGAAATAAAGTGCCAACCAACTCTGACATTTACGAGTATTTGGAAACTTTTGCATGTCAAATTGAAGCAAAAATGGAGTTTTAGTAAAGTTTTCCTTCAAAACATGTCCGTAACTGAAGGAGGTTAATGGAATATATTTACCCACTTATACATAAGTCACTTTTAAAAACTCACTGCATGAAATCCAAAAGGCTCAGTCACCCTTTACTTTGTACTGACTGGGAAATTTAAAAAAAAAAGACCATAAAGCAGAGAAAGACGACATCCCTCCAGATGTGTACTGCTGTGCTTTTGCCGCCTGGTCACTTAAAAACTGGTCCTCTGATGTGTTTTTATGAAAGCGCTCAGAGAAAGGATGGATCACTTAGCGGGTAGATGGAGTTTTCTTCATGCACCAATGAGTTCAAATCTGTGTTTGAGCCATTTTACCCAAAGATATTTGTTCTCTCACTCTTTCATCTCTCCTTTTTTGCCCTCTTTTGCTCTCTCTGTCTGTTATTTCCCGTCTTTTACGACTTTTCTTCTCACCGTCACCCCCTCCACCCCCTGGCTGTTCCTCTTTTTAGTACTCTAAAGGAAGGATGGTGTCTGAATTTAGCATTTTCGTCTTGCAGATTATTTACAGAGAGGTCTTGACAAGAATAAGCTTTGGTTCCTACATTTGGAAGCTAGGCCAAATTCACAAAGGAAGGAAACGTAACCATTTCAGAATCAAGGACCCATACACGGGAGACCAGGGCATGCGTTCAGCAGAGGTGGCTACAGTACAAACATTCATCACTAAAGTAAAAGAACAGCGTTAAAAAAAACCCTGATACTGATTCATCAAAAAGCAGCTCTTCCGCCAAGTATTTTGGACTGCTGAACCTTTACTTTCTATGTTAATAATAATAATTCTTTAATAAATTCCTAGTCGCTTAATAAAATATTAAGGGGCAAGAAACTTCCTTCACATTAATTTCTGATTAGACTGAATGTTTTCAGCTTGAATGTGTGTTACATTGAACACCAGGAGAGAAAAATAGAGCAAAAAAGAAGAAAACGAGCTCTGGTTTCTGTTCACATTGAAGGTGTTTGATTTTACCTTTTCTTCTAGGTAGCTAGATTGTGCCACACCTACAACTTATTCTGCACCTCCAATGCTGTTCTGGATGATTCTGATGCACTTGAATCCCTGCGTATGGTACAGGTGCATAAATTATATGATTTTTCATTTGAATATGTTTCTTTGATCTCTCTTTTACGACAGTTGTATGATAAGGACCAAAGTAATGTCAGTAAAATACTATATAAAATAATCAAGTAGAGTACAGATACCTTAAAACCTTCCCATCTCTGGAGTTTTAAACCTTTATAATATAGAAGTTAATAACACATAAGAAAAAGTGAGTCTTTTAACAGGAAACGGACAATTGCACAAAGAGAAAGTCATAATATGACATGAAGGCAAGAAGGATAAATAAATATTGTATGATATGCTGCAATAACATAACAATAAAACAGATAAGGAAAAGACAGGGGAAGTAAAACAGGAAACGCATGTGACAATAAGACAATTAAAGACAGAAAATAAATGTAGAATAGACTCAAAGATGACTGCATAGCAAGAAATAAAGAATCAAAGGAAAGGATTAAATGCAATACAGAAAAAAATAAAACCAATATGAAAGTGAGCATGGAACAGGGAAATGCAACATGAGAAACAGGAAATAATATGAAAAGAAAAAACAAATTGAAAATTGTGAGCTTCAAATTTTCATGTTCTTTCTGTCTTGTTTCACTGTGGATGAAGGTGTTTACAGAGGTGCACTCAATCGGGGAGAAGAGGAGGATTATTTCTGTAGAAGCTCATATCCACCCCCTCTAGTCACACAAACAAGTTAATAAGACAGATTAAACAGATTTAATATGTTATTGTATTAAAAGGTGTGTGTGTGTGTGTGTGTGATGCTCATGCAGCATGGATGTTTAGCCGGGGTGGTGAGGAGGAGGTGTGCGTTTAATAAGCACACCGTCTCCATTCATCTGTTGCTAAAAAGCCGATATGACTGCTCAGTTTGCCATCAGCACTTTCACACCCATTAAGGCTCACGCTTAAGAGCTTGGAGAGATATTCCAGAGTGGGAGACTGACTTGACCGATTATGCAGACAAAGCTGCATGAGCTGAGTGACAAATCACTCTGCATTTGCAGCCTCACCTTGTTGGTTGTGACAGATTGCAGATGCAAGCTGTGGAAATGAGCTTCAGGGTGTATAAACTCACTTTTTGAGAAAATGGGAGGAACTTGGTTATTTTGGAGGCGCTCAGAGTAGAGCTGTTGCTGATGTAGCTTGAAGGTCTGACTGGGCACCTCATGGCATGTCCATTTGGAAGAAGGATTCCCTGGGGAAGACCCAGGACATCCTGGAAGCATTGCATCTCTTGGCTGGTCTGGGAATACCCCAGTATCCCTCCAGTATTGTGGTCTGTATGTCTACCAGTGTTTCTTAACAAATCCGGCTGAAACACCAACATGTTTATGCAATGGTGACGACTCAGTTTGTCTACCTATCTGTAGTCGACTTAATGGGTCTACACCTGAGTATTGGTCAGATTTTAGAAATGAGTTTGTCCTGGATAAGACTGTCTCCAAGCCTCCTTGATCTCTCAGTTAATTTTCTTTCTCATCAGTTTATGCAGTACAGCCAACCAATGGCAGTAAAGCTTATAACTTTATACCGTTATCTGACACATTACAATAATCTTTGTATACCTAACTACCCACCGTTCACAGGCCTCGGATGCAAAGGAGACTGGGACAGCATAGCATGCTGGGAGCGAGCGGAGTTTGGAGAGACCGTGACCATCCCCTGCCCTCGAGTCCTCAGGACTGTGTTTGGCAGAGATGGTGAGTACGGTTAATTCATAAATGAATGTAAAGGATCTCTTTAACTGATGTTTTTGTGTTTCCGCAGATAAATAAGTTGAGGGAAAATGACATTTAAAAGTTCAAATTTTGGTAGCTATTTGCCTAAACTGCTGATCACATGACTATAGTCTTATATTAACATAACACTGGAATGCAGTAACTCACTTAAACCATTGTTATGATTTCTGTGAGTGTACACTTCAGTCTTACTGAGGTCAATTTTGTCATTAGAGTGTATGGGTAACAATTTGTTCCTAATCTCCCCTTACATTGAAGGACTGCCATGAAAACACAGACATCAGAGTTAAAGTAAAAACTGATGTGTTTATACATTACTTGAGCATTCTTCTGCTCCATTACTTTTGTTTTGCAGCTGCTTTACAAAAACATTCACACAAAAAACATACAATGAAATTTGGAGCATGAAGAGAAGCAGACCTTTTAAAAATTGTTCTTTTTGTACAGAATTTCTTCCTCCATTTGTTCACTTTCTATGAGGCTGCTCCTGTAATATAATGATATAATGATACCAGGCTTAAATATCTGCAGATAACTTTTCACATTATCTAGAGCTGCACTTAAGTCACTCACCAGATGGGTTCAGCATTAATACTCAAGGCTCTCTGTCCCTGTTTGACATTGTTCATCTCCCAGTTGTGTGAATGTGTGCAGTCAGTGGATTCCCTCCTGAATCCATCAGATTTTCCAGTCAGTGACCAGATGGCAGTTTGGGTTTCCGCTCTGAGTGTGCTCTGATTTACATTGATGACTAAACATTATGCAAGCGCCCAGCGGCTTGTTCGGAGCCAAAGCTCACCCTGATGCTTCCCCTGTCTGGGACAGATACAGACACCCTACAGTTATTACGTTTTACTGAAATGGTAAAGACATCCTTCCTGGAGTTACCGAATACTTTTTTTCTGTCATTTAAACGAAACCAGTGAGAAAGCCATGAATTCAACTTTGAAAGAGAAACTCTTTATTTAGTTTTAGTCTACATTAATTTTAGGCAGCTCACCTTCATACTGCTAATTATAGCATCGCGAGAGGTTTAGTTTAACTAAGTAAACAGAATTTAAAAAACGGGGAAAAAAA